AGGGAAGAAGAATCGCTGCTGAATTGGTTTAACACCAGAAGAAAAGGAGGGCGCCAAGGAGAGGTGCTTTTACCTCTATTATTGAATATGGTGGTGAATTATGTGATGCAGAGGAGCGTCGTCCCGAACAACAGCGAGGGATTTACTATGAGGCGAAGACTCAGTCGAAGACACCCAGCAGTACTCCTAACAGATTTTGAGTACGCTGATGTTACTGTACCGCTGAGCGACTCCGGCAATGGCTTGTTGGCACTAACTCGAGAAGCGTGCAAGGTAGCCTCGACAGTAGGCATAGAGGTTAACCCCACCAATACGAAGATCTTGCGAGCGTCAAACTATTCTAGAGATTCAGTGGCGTGGAATGACCATCGATGAGGTCGGAAACTTCAAGTACCTCGACTCTGTACGCTTAGGAGATATAAGCTGCGAGGTGGAAGTAGAGCGGCGCTAAGGGCTGGTGTCTGTGAACTTCGGGCGACTTTCTAAAGTGTGGGAAAACCGATCTATCAACAAAGATAACCATACCAAAAGCAGAAGTGTTCTCAATACTGATGTACAACCTTGAAGCACCAACTTTTATAGCGCCATGAAACGATGCTGGACACTTTCCAGTAGCGCTATCTGCGGAACATTCTGAAAGTGAAATGGTTACATCGAAGAAAGAAAGAAAGGATCTTGGAGAAGACTGGCTTGAGAGCGCTGTCTCAAATGACCATGGATCGGCGTATGCCGTGGTTTAAGAAAACCACCCGGAGAGAAAATGGAGACTTATCCGGAACCATTCTCTTTTGGGACGCAAAGAATGACCGCAGGCTCGTTGGAGGCCAACATCGCGCCCTTAAACAGTTGCTATGAGCTAATTTGCTTACGACGAGGAACGTAACCTTTGCCGCAGCAACCAACATCGCCTAAATCATTTTGATAAGCCAAAGAATGAGACATCATTGATCTGGGTACTTTGTCCTTAACTCTGATACCTCAGATGACGACAACAACAGCAACAACAAAACTTATTGGAGTGAGCAGTCTCTAGTCAACGTTTTGATCTTTGCGTTACATTCTTTGAGAAAATAACTTGAAAAGTATGGTTGGATGCTAACTTTTGATAAAGATACCTACAGGATTTCCCTTCATTTTTGAGCAAAATAGCAAATTTCAGATAATGATTAGACTCTGGTAGACTAACTGAATAAATGAGAAAGAGATATGAAACAGAATGATTAACGGTGCATAACTCAGATGATTTTATTTTGCGTCTATGAAGCTTTTCATGAAATTTAACATCGACATACTTACCGTGGAGAGCAACTGAAGGCTAAAATAAGGGAGAGCAAAACATCATATGATAGCGCAAAATACAGTGGAGTATATCTGCCTTAGTCGTGGAATATTGTTCCATCACAAGCGTACATATTACCTGACTTATAATTCAGCCAAGAGACAGATGTCATATCAAATGGACTACTCTCTGCTAAACGCGGAAAGCTGCAGGTCAATAAAAGGTACGTAAATGTGAAAGAGCATGCATATGGTCAGATCACTATTTGATCGTCGCACCGCTTTCGTGAGGAGAGGTCAACCTCGTGCGTTCTAAGTTGTGGGACGTGCCAATCTCCCTGCATTTAAATGTCGACTCCTGTACATCTTCCGAAGACAAGACGAGGCAGAAGAGGAATATGGTAGACCGCTGCGAAGAGCTGCTCTGCAAAACTCTGCGTTTGCCGGCTGTAATTTGCAACAGCTGTCGAGTCATCCCGCCTAAATCGGCAAACTGAAGGCCGTTTGGTTGATGTCACGTGTCAACACCTGCATAAACTTAAATGGGATGGCTATTTGTCGTGTTCTTTAGGGGACAATTAAATAAAAGTGGATGTTTGAAAGATTTTATCTGGAAATCAAAACAGAGCGTCTTAATAAAAAATGCTGTCCCAGTGCCTAAATTATGACTCAGAAATAGGAAAAAGGTTTCAAGAAGAAATAGGATAGTGGTATAATGAAATTTCTTTAGAAAACAACATTGAAAGAAATCTGGACGGCGTCCACTATGCGTACATAACTATTAAGGAAAATATCCTTGTCACCGGAAAACTGCAGGGCTGAGAGAAGATAAGTGTGGATCGGTGAAGGCAAGAACAACGTGAGAAAATAAATTCCGCGAAGAAGATCTGCTTGAGTTGCTTACAGTTGAATGTAAATTAAAGCACTATGAACTCATTCACGTTGCAAGTCTAAGCTTCTAGCTAGATAAAGAATCGTATTTGAATTAAGTAGCTGTGATTCTGCGGTAAGAAAAAAATGCAACACAAAGAAGCTATATTATACGACAAAGTTTTGCAAGTCAAAACGAAAGTGTATGAATTAATGACATGAATAGAAGTTTAATGGTTGAATGGGAACGCCCAAGAAATCCATTTTTAACAAAAGAAAATAACAAAACATTTGAAATCAACATGTATATAACAGAGGACAATTGCACCTGGACGCGTAGAGCTAACAGAATGAATCCATGAACAGGCGAATCACTAGCGAATCCAGCACATAAGCACAAAGCAAAGTTAATAGACAAAGAGATTGAAAGAAAACTACGTCACATTAAGCAAATTCAAGTATTATTGTTTAGCGTCAGTGATACCTTGCAAACCACGCGCTGAGACAGTGATTATGGGCCTACAGTGCCGTTCATGCAAAAACACAGGAATCACACTTGGATCTAATTGATGAAATTCACGACAGACATAATGAGAGCTCAAAACGCAATGGATGAATATTACTATCCAGACATTTTGACATATTCAAGTGTCATGAGAAATCGATGAATTAACGACGTGTCTTAGCAAACAATTGCCTGAAGGGCCACTTGAGACTTGTCTCAGTGATCGCTAGCTCCTAGAAGTCGCATGGAACTTAACTATCGTCCATACAGTAGTTGTCAGTGTCAGAATATTTATGTAAATGTCTTGCATTCCTTGCATATCTTTTACGTTTCTGCGGTTTTCAGATATTTTTCATGAACAAATATACCTATTCAATTAGATTTTTTTGTTTTT